GAAAAGCTGCAAATGAAGTAGTTTTTGACTCGTGTCTTTCTCTGTTAATTCTCAATCTGGTGAGCTTGTTACTGTAAATATGCATAATAATTGATGTTACACTTCAGTTCTAAGGTCTTTTCAGCAATTCATTTTCTTGCAATACTTACAAACTAAAATCTAAAGTACAGTAAATTTCAGAAAGTATGCATGCACTTGCATCCACATATTAGAATAGATTATGTGGGTTAGGAGTGTGAGGATTTAGGGACCTTATTGACACTAAGGAAGCAGATACAGAAACTAATCTGACCTTTTCTCCCCTGAACATCAGGGGAGAGTGTTGTAGGACATTCGAAGCTTTCTTAATGGAAATAATGTGTACTTCATTGCATGTTGTTTTAAATCAAGAATGCGTGACGACAATAATTACACTGCCCAAAGTGAATCCAATTGCAAAAAGCTCAAAGTGACAGAAAAGATGTTTCAACAGATCTCTTAATCTGCACAAGCCAGGCCAGTGTCTGATGTGGGGAGGAAGTCCGGAATTTCTCGAGCCATGTTTGCTTTGCCCCGAACTTTCACATCGAGAGGAAATCAACTAAATAATTGACAACAAAGCATGTGGAGGCAGCTGTCCTTTCTGCAACAATGGCATGTTAAGACATCACAATGAATAAAGCCCGAAATGTCAAGCCAGGCAGAAAGATATTGTGCAAGTCATCAAAGAGTGGTCTAGGGTCTCAGGTTTAGTTGTGGTTTTGCTGACACAGAACTGTCTGTTTCATCTTTTCTCTTCTGGCTGAAAAGAAAAGATTACAGGCCTTGCATATTCTGGTTTCTTTATTTTGTTAGCACTCGAGTGGAAAATTACATTTTTTATTTAACAATCCATAGGAACGACAATGATACAAAACTACAGTAGAGACAACATACACACATACTGTAGGAAGCACTGTGAGATGAAAAATCTTTTCTGGTCGTGATTTAAATCTCCAGGCTCACAAAGGGAAAACTGGTTTAGCCATCCTGAAAGTTTGCATTGTGCTTTGCGATGTGTTTCTAAAAGGACGAGAGAAAAAGTATCACAAACAAGGGCAAAGAGAGATTGATTAAGGCTCAAACCCAAAAATAAGAATTGGAAAGAACAAAAGAGGAAAAGAATGGAGCCACATGTCATACTTATAGAACATTTTCAAATCTTAACTAATTCCAGTGATGTCTCCCTACTGAACACTCATCTCCTTTCCCCCTTTTTTAAACAAGCTTCTGTTTCAAAAATGAACCCTCATTCTGTGGTTGAATTCAAGGGGAAACCATTGCTTCCTCCTACAGGATGCCCTGTGGTGTTAAGCAAGGTGTGTTTGAAATAAGAAAAGCAGACAGGTCATTCGAAGACACTTTAGACTGGTTTATTGAAGAGTAACCAGACAACAGGTCAGGAGCCGCTGCTTTAAGAGAGGAAGGCCGAGCTGAGAGCTGGCACTGAGCGTGCCCAGCCGCTGAGTCAGCTCATCCCCTTCCCCACGCGAGCGTGCTCACTCAGCCTTGCCTTACTCCCCTTGATGTTTCACACCCCACAGCCAGTTTTTATTCTTCACACCCGACGAAACCCTGGCACTCAGACAAAAATTGTCCTAGGCTCTCCTAAGTAGCTGTCTCGGAGAGGTGCAAGTCGAGCGTGAGAGAAGAACAGAGATGGTAAAAAGCAGTGGGAAAAAAAAGGATTCCTCATCAGAGCTTGCCAGGAACGCCAGGACCGCAGGGCCTGAGACTTGATGGCTGCCTGGGGCACCTTTCCACTTCAACACTGGCTTTGACAGTATGAATTCTTCTCCACCAAATATCCATTAGCAGACTCTCAGTTTCATTCTGAAACAAATGGTCACACCCCCTTGTGCAAGACTTACCTTTGATAGTTGTCACTGCTTCAGTTTCATTGGAACAGCAGCACAAGACTGCCTGAATCAGCAATGGAAAATTCCTGTGTGGAGTCCTGTTTTCTTAAAGGGTTTAGTTTGCACATTGTGTCAAAAGCGAAGGCTTTGATCATAGGTAGGACTTTCAACTCCAAAACTAAAATTGGGGACTTGGTTCTTAAACCTTCCCAAAATAAATAAAATAACCTCTGCTACTTCATCTAGCACTCTTGTTCTGCCATCCCAGTGTCTGCAAAAGGTCAGACTGTGATGCTCATAATTGATTTTAAGGCTCCTGAGAATCACAGCTCCTGTGCTGTCTCCTGCAGAACACCTTTCAACGTTTTCTTTAATTATATAGTGCAGGTCCCCTGAGACACAACGTCCGAGCTAGTATTCACATGCAGAACTGCTGTGCAGGCTGCGAAGTGCTGCCGACAGATCAGTCAGTGGTGCTGCTGTGAATCGGCCTCCTGCGTGTCTGGTCTTGCACACGTGCTGTCTGCGAGCAGGCTGTCGAGGCTCTGGAATGCTGTAAACCTGCATTCTCACACCTGCCTGAGGCAGACCGGCATCGTACAGCTCCGCGTTCCACAGAGAGCACTCAGTGTGCATCGCCTGTCAGGGAGACACCTTGAATACCCAGCCTGCGTGAGACGTCCCGGGAAAGTAAGGTTTATAGGAATCAGTCGACTTTAAAATAATTTGCACTGTGCATTTCTTTGCCCAAACCTGTCCCGCTGGCTGGTGCTATTTATGCCAGAAAACACGCAGGGCTGGTTGCATGCGTCTGCACTTGGATGTACAGGACGATCATAGGCTTGGCTGTTGCATGAGTTTGAAACATTGTGGGATCCCAGGGCTGATGAAAAGTGCTATGTAAATGTACAGTAAGTCCATACACGTTCAATTGCATTTAGTACTTGCTTCTGCTATATAGGTTGTAGGTTCCAGGATTCCTTATACCTTACTATGAAAGTTTAATGATAACCTTACCTGAGATTTTAGAATTCCTGGTTTCAATCAAGCTGCTTTAAGTTCATATTTCTGTTTCGGCTTGCAAACACGTTTTCACCCAGTAACAACAAACAGGGCATTATAATCAGGGCATTTTCTGTTGCTTGAATATTGTGATAGGAGACATTTCAGTTATTTTGCAGCTGATAGAAAAAGAGGAGAAACTGATGAGCAGTCATAGGATAGTGAAAACCAGACTACACGCAGAATTTGCTGACATGAAGAAGAGAAGAGCTGGACCAATATGGAACCAGGTAAGACAGAATTTGAGGAACTGTTATGTAATTATTTAAGAAGATCCCAGGGGAATGCTGTGTACAAGAACCTAGGGAAAATTACTATAGTAAAAATAAAAGGCACATTCTGGCAGTCATTTTCAAGAACAGTGTCACCTCTGAGAATTCAGCCCCACGGAGTGAAGTGGACTTGAAACTTTTTTTCCTTTTTTTCTAAAACTCTTTGCTTTTTTGGAATCTAAAAGAAACTCTATTGTTTTGTTTGAAGCAAGGTCCCTGACTGAAACATGAATTTTTTTGTCTTCCTAGAATAAATGTGAGTTTTGCAGTCTGTTGTAGTTTCCCTCTTTTCACATTTCTGCCATTTTTTAAACATTTCCTTGTGTTGGTCTGATGGTATCACTATTCTGTAATTCTGGTTACAACGAAACATATACTGTATTGTACCATTATTTAATGCTATACTTGTTGCTACACCCCCAGACATTCAGAGGAAATATTTCGTTTTACCACATCACTCATCTTTAACATCTATCTTACTATAGGTTCTATACCGTATTATTATAATTACTCATCTATGATTATATATTCAAGCATCCGTGTCATGCCTTGTACTTCTCACAGCTGACCAGCTGCTGCTGTTTTTGTGTTTAGTCCATTTGGAATGTAGTGCTTTGTCACACACATCTGTACTCTACTTGAAAGCTACCGCTCTGTCACACAGCTGGACACTACATGCATCGTCCCTCTAAATGAAGAATAAGAAAAGGACAGCATAGAAGGCAGAGTTTTCTGGTGGTGGTGCTAATACTGCACACTGGAGCCTCAGTAGGCACATGTATGTACTATATGTACAGTATATGTATACAGCCTTTGTCCTCACAGGTCAAAGGGTAAAGTCATCTTTATTGCCAAACCAACTGTTCGAGTTGTTCAGAATTGTTTAGGAATAACAGCGATTTTAAAAAATGTTCAAGCCTAGTAATCTTCAAGAACATGAGATGGCTTTCTGACATAAGGCTGACTCCTGAAAGCAGTGGAGGTCTAACAGTCAGTGAAGGGATGATGCCTAAGGGGTTGAGAGGTGAGATTAACCCAACCTCCCGCACTGAGGTTGCACAATCTCTTGAGGATAGTAGCAGTAGAGGGACAGTATGTCCTCTATATAGACTGACTGGTGATGCAAACTCAGCTATGCAATCTACTGCCATTTAACCAAGAATGTTTAAATGTGAATAAACACTTAGGTTGCTCAGGACTAAGGGTTAGGTTCATGCCAAAATACCTAGATATAATCTATTACACCTGGTTACCAGTGGTTCTAACAAGATATCATTGGGTAACATTTATATAACTGCCTTTCCTTTTTTTTTTTTCGTTGAACCTCTTCAGCGGAAAAACAAAGACAATAAGTCTCCAGCACTTCCTCTTTCAGGAGAAGGAGGGAGAGCGGAGATGACAGGTATGTGCTTCTTGGAATGTGCCTCTCGGCCACACCTGCGTGAGTCAACCTTCCTCCCTGTGATTGCTGTGCCTCCCGGACCCGCCCCTCTGCTGCGATTGGACACTCAGCAAGTTACTGACAAGGATGAAGTCTTGTGCATCACCCAATGGGAAGGAAGATGAGGTGGGGTGGTTGCGTAATAAAACTCATCAATGGGGTGTGTCTACAAAGTTGGTCGGCAGTCCAGAGGGAAGGGTTAGTTTGTGACTGTCTCAATGCCGGTCAATACCACTGCAGGAGCCTCCTCAGATCTTTACTACTACGACTGGAAGAGCCTCCAGCCGTCTGAAGACGGTAGATGGTAAAACTCTTGTTACAAATCGTTCAGCAGTTCCTTTGTTGCGGTTGTCGTGCTGTTTTCTTGTTTATATTTGGAGTCAGCTCAAGAAGATCGCTACCCTGGATGACTTGTCTAATTAGGCTGAATTTGTTCTTTGTCTCTCTCTCTCATGAATCTGCCTGCCGCTGCCCTTGACAGACCCATGAGGAGGTGTCTACTGACCACTCCTGTGCAGGTTGGAGTATGATGGGTTTTGCTTTTTTAATGACAACCTGCTGGCATCCACAGTTGTTCACATCTCCTTATCACTTTTCCAGCCCAGCTATCTATTCTGAATCCGTTGGACGGAGAACTGATAAGGGCATGTGAATGACATTTGCAGCCTAAAGAAGAGATTCAGACTTGATCGGTGATTGCACTAGATTCCTTTTAACATGTCATGACCTAAGACAGGATTTGCTGGACACATGACTTCAGATGTTTTGAGATCTATTTCGCTGTTAGAAACCGTACAGCCTCTGTGATCCTTATGAGTTAAGGTTTAATGAAGAAATTTGTGTTGCCAAGGTATTGTTGATTACTCTCTGCATTTTATTTGAATATGTGTTTCTCCTGAATTTGGCTGTTTAGGAGTGATCTTCTTTAAATTGTTGCTTTAAATCCAATGTCATGCTAGGACTTCTGCAGTATGTTTCCCCTATGGTCCTTATTCCTCTTGCTGTCACTTTTCAGTTTATATGCCTTATGCGCTGTGACTCGAGTGTGTAAAGATATCAAGACAGGGGATGGCTATTATTTTACTATAAAACAGTTTAATAACATTTAGTAGCACTGTCATTGCAAAATCCATTTTTTCCTTATTATTACAAAAGAGGTAAAATACTCGTAATTAATCTAGAACAAGACAAATTACAAAAGAAATTGAAAATGAAAACATAAAAAATAAAATCAATGATTACATCCTGTTGTCCATTGCTAAAAAGAATAACCAAGAGTTGATTTTGACAGATGGATTCTGAAATGTCTTTGTTTACTTTAGAATTAATCTGTGATGAATGCAAACTTAAAATAATTATCTCACCTTAACTTATGAATATATACCTTTGGTGCTTTCCTCGAAAAGTGTGTGTCCCAAAATGTCAAGAGAAGGAATACTACTAATAAAAGACAAATCAGTTTTAGTACCTTCATGTTTATAAGTGAATAAATGCTCTCAGAATGTTTTAATCTTTTTATACAAAGCAAAAAAAGGTTGGAAAGACATCAGCATTCAAAATTACAGTTTTCAATTAATTAAAAAACATGAAAAAATGATGTAAGTTTTGTGGAATCATCTTTTTTTGTTGTTGCAGAATCTGTGCAAGTTCATAGAATTAACTTCATAGACTTCGGAATAAAGAGTTTCTTTCGGGCATCTTTCCTGAGACTCTGTATATCTTATTTGACAGCACTGCTTTTCAGCACTCAACACTTGCTGAAGAAAACTGCATGTGTACAGGGATCAATTTCAATTAAGATAAGAATTCTTGGTAGTTTAACATAAACCAGGTAAGACTCTTAAATGCAATGGGACAAAGTTTTTGCAATGTACCCTTGGTATTCTGGACACATTGTGAATGAAAACACTACAGATACAGTAGGCACTGTATAATCAATACATCTCTTTGGGAGATTAATCACGTTACATAATTCTCTGGATAAAAACAGACAATGTTGTGTTAATCACCATGCAAGATATAGCATGCCTGGTTTCCAGATCTGGGACATTTCATGATGAAATTGCGAGGAGGAATATATTTAAGATATGACTGAGTTTTCTGGTTAGTGGCACAACACTGTGCCAGGCTCAGTCAGGGGGATTTTAAAACGATTCTATTGCAAAGAAAAGTTTCCATGTAGTAGATGGCACGGAATTGTGAAATAGAGCATTTCTCAACGTGATCCCAGTTTTCTTTCACAAATCTCATAACTACAATTATTTAATACTGCCTCCATGTTTCCTTTATACCTGAAAAATCAGCATACTGTATATTAGCCAGACAGGAGACGGTGCAGCAGGTGAATATTGGGGCAGAGAGACGATTCTGCCTCGTCAAATTCTTCAAGGTCACAAATCTTCATGTCAAGTAATATTAATACATGGCCGGACCCTGAAGACCAACCCACCTGCGATTCTGCACTATCCACAGAATGTAAGACAGATCAAAATCACCGATTCATGTTTTAGGAAATGCCCCACAAAAATGTTTTAACATGTGTTCCCTTTAACTAGTTTATTTAGTATTTACCATATGGTAATAATGTTTTTCAATTGTTGCCACTTTCCATAACCCTTTACTATTTCTTATGTGGTTTATGCTGGGGGTCATGTACTTTGGTCTTTAATTGCCCGCTTTATGAACAGCAGGTACTGATGGCAGCAAAAATGGCCTTTAAACAAGCACATAAAATGTTGGAAGACCAGAGAAAGGGCAGGTGTGTGCAGAGGTGGGCATGCAGCTGCTGTAAGACAGGTACCAGTGGCATCTATCACTGTAACCAATCATTCTGAAAGCAGTGATATCGATAGAATCTACCTTGGGAAAAAACAGTAGGATTCATTCTCCAGCTGTTGTGAGTAACTTTTACAACTGCATTTACTTATTTTATTATTACTAGAACTAAAACAATGAATTGGATGAAACCGTTTTCTAAGTAAACCATCAACAAAGTAGTAAATAAAAATGTGATTTGTCTTACCCAACATTTTATGTAGACCGTTTTTGCTGCCATCAGTACCCAAGACTTTTAATATTGGATCTACGTGTTTCACACATGACTAACTCCTTCTCAAATCAAGGCTGGCCATTGGCTGGGCAGACCGCTGTTATTATTGCCGAGAAAGGCATTCTGCTCTGTACAGCTCCAGCGCTCCAGGGTAGAGGAACTTTTCAGTCTGCAGGTAGAGACTTGATCACAGCATCGTCAGACCCCATCTCTTCCACTGCCTCAGCTGACAACTTCCAGAGACACAGAAATGGACGCTGTCTTTGAAAAGCAACACTGGGGTTGCAGTTAGGAATGGGGACAAAGGAAGTGGGGTGTGTTTCCGTTTCTCAGCTTGATACAGTAATTGTGATCCCTGCAGAAAGTAGTCCAATCCGAAATCTCAGTTTGAATACTCCTGTGATTGGGATTGTAGAGGGTGTAAAACTCTAAAAATGACCCAGTTACGGCACAAACTGAGCTCCGACTGTGGCTTTAAAAAAAATTGTATGAGGTCCAGAGCATCAGTCACATCTTCTCTCTCTGATGAGGACCATACTTCGGCAGCATGGGAGTTCTGCAATGTAGAAAAAACGCATTACAGTGTGTTCTCTTTTTCTGGCTTTACCCAAACAATGTCTGTCACCTTCTGTCACTATAGCGAAACGATTTCTGATATAATATGGAGGCAGGGGATGTTTTAGCAGATATGAAGCTGCAGCTTATTGCAGATGAAGGCCACTTCTTTTTACACACAAAAAATAACAGAATACAGCTGCACACATGAAATAAGCAGTTGGGTGAGCACGCTTGGCATAAAATAATAACCCTTGCGCCGTGCTCTAGTTTGCAAAGTTCACTCTAGGCGCATACTATTTTCGTCCACCAGAGGGCGGCATCGCACCTTGCAGGCGACTGGCGAGCTGTAGTTCCTTTCCACGGTACATAGCACCTAGTCAGCAATACCGAGCCTAGGAGAACGAAAATCTGCTCGTACTGTATATCAAACTCACCAATTCTGAAGAACATTGTGACAAACAGGAAACCTGCATCTGCACTGGAATTAACAGCATTCACACTTCACTCAACGAGGGTGCATTGGAACTGTGTGTCTATGACCTAATATACATTTTTCTGTTTTTAAATGAAATAGTTTACGATGCTGACGAGGCATAACTGAAGCTGAAACAAGATATCAAAACCTAGCGGTTGTGATTTTAGTGTAACGGTGCAGAAGGTCACCAAGCGGACCAAGTGTTTTGTGTTTTGTCTCCTAGCCACCCTCCACCCCTGAACACAATTCTTCTGTAGGAAGAACTTAATAAGCTCTGGACATTTTCTGCAACAAGTGTGCCACCCGACCCGCCTTATGAAGAGTCTAGTTTTATGCCATTGCAGGATTACACAGATAAAATAATATCGCTGCCACTTGTGTTAATTTCTTCTTATAAGATGCAAAAGCTGCAGAGGCAACAGACTGATTGCAATTATTTTTAAGGAGAATGTTTACATGTGCCTGTAACCTGTATATTTTGACCAGCAAACATTCACATACCGTTTCATCTCTTTTGTCAGCAGTTTACTCATTAATTGGCATATTTATTTTTTGTTATATTACTCGTTAATAATTCCTTTAGTTCTAGATTACAGAGCATGCTACAGGTTCACGCTTTATGATCCTTGTAGGGTCGAATGGAGGCCATCAGAGCAGTTCAGGGGCGACCGATTATTTAGGCTAGCATTGCTCCAGCTCTCCAGAAACCACACACTCATCAACGGAAATGAAGTGCGCTCAGATTCAGATCTGAATGCAGGGTGGTGGTGAGAGCATAGAACTAACTGCCAGCATGATGTTGCACCGGCAGGTCTTGTAAGAACTCTTTACAAGACCATAACAAGGTTGCGAAGGAGGAGAGGCAATTGGGCTCATCTTGCTCATCCTGCTGCTATTGGCTATCAATTTCTCAAAATCCATCAGTTTCGCTAAGGATCACTGAGCAAGCACACAGCCTTCCGCACTGCAACTTTTCTTCTGTTTCGTCGAGCTGCTTCTCCTCAGGGGCCAGTCTCAGGCAAAAGAGCAGAATATTGTTTTTATACGCGCAAATCTGCTTTAAGTAATCTGTGGAGGGTGATCTCAGTTTTTTATAACTATTTTTATTTTATAACTATAGCAGGCAAATTATGTCGGAAATTCAAACGCCTCCTGGTATGTGGTCATTGTTTCAGCTGGTAAAAAATCTAGATGCAGCTGGTTCATCCGTCCAAGCTGCTTTTCCTGGTAAGGGTCACAGTGATCCCACGAAAACATTGTGCAACAACTCCTTCATTTCCTGTCTGGCCAGTTTCTGTGCCGGTTTTTCTCTCCTCGTCTTTTTTTGGAACACTTTCTACAGACACAAAGACGTGAGAGGCTGTGAAATAAGCAGGCCTAAATTGGAAGCTATCAAATCCTGCAACTTTTCCTTGCACCCAGTTACCATAGAAACTATATTACCAAGCAACTGTCTTGTAATTGTTAAGTTTTAGTTTTGGCCTGCCTCACATTGTAAACCAGTTCCTCCATCTGTGTTACTCGCACAAGAGTGTGTGTGTGTTATAGTATGTAGCAGAAATAGTAGTGTTTGCAGATTCTGCAGTCATGAGAAACAAGAGAGAGGGCTCAATTTCACTTCTGTGTGCTCGTCCCAGACCAGTCCAGTTTTGGCTGAAAAATCAGTTATATGACTGATTAACTGATAAATATGTTAGTAATGCTTTCACTTCTTATTGAATCTAATTTTCCCTTAATATCAAAGATGATGGCAATGATGTAGATTGTTATTATGCCTTATATTGGGTGTACATTTGAATTTTTTCCATCTGCTATAAGGTTTTTTTCTCTTTAATAAATTAATCTAAATGGCACACTAAGCAACTGATGCTAATGTAACACCATTGTTATCTAAGGAGCACAGATAAAATCAGAACCTTTTTCTAATAATCCTTGCATGTCCCTATGGAAAAGACTAATATACACTATAAAGAGGTCTAGTGTGAGAAAATAATAGTCTCATCCCATTTGCAGTGCATACTCCTTTATTTTTTAACAACAAACACTAACAAATGGTTTATCAAATTGCTGCCTTTGATGCACGATATTTTATGTTCTTTCTAAACAAGCAGCTGATGGAGAGACACACTCCCAGGGGCTGATGGGATCGTTCCCGTGGTGTGTGTGTGGGGGGGTTCAGAGGGGGTGTCCTGCTGGGCTGGGCTGTCCAACACATACTTAATTAAAGACACAAGTGCAGAAAGCGGTCACCATGACAACAAAATGCTAAACAAAATCTTAAAGCAAAGCAGGTTACTGATTCTAACTGTATTTTAAGAAATAAAGAGTTCGTTCTCTTTTAAAATGAAAAATTTCCTTCAATTCTTCTTACTAATGAGCTTGATTATAAAGTACTTTAACTTCTAACCAAGGATAAAATAAATGCAAAGGTCTCAACTTCTGCAATGAACGATCAAAGATTTCTGCAGTCTAGGACGCTGCATTAGTTTAAGAGCCTTGATGACTCCATACTAAATGCCGTATTCGTGTAAAAGAAACGTGTGCATTAGTGTCTGTTAAAAGTCAAGCTTCACCACCCTGTCCACGCACTGTCACTAGTTCACAAGCACCAGCTCCTCACTTTGCGCTGCCATGATGGCAAAGTATCGCCCTTGTTGCAGGACATTAACATTCTCAATGACACTCAAGTCCCTCACGTACTAGGGTAAACACACTGCCTGGGGCTGTCAGCCTTGCTGAATATTGATCAAGCAAATTTATTTTTAATAACTAAGTCATTACTTATTAACAATTTTCTAATCCAGGGACCGATAGCTATAGCACCAGGGATTTGGGGCCCTGGATTTACAGATTGATATTTACCATTCATGAATATTTGACGCCTTCCCAGAGTTGCACCAGTGCAGGTTTAAATGCACTTCAAACTGAGTAGGTGAGGACACCTGGTATCTACACACACTCGCTAATGACAGACCTCCCACGGGAGCCAGCACTGCCCCCAGCCATCTGTTCCTGTGTGACGCCTGATCACAAGGAGATCACTGCAGGCTGCAACTCCTTCTACGCATTACTAAGACTGCAGCCCACTTAACCCTTTTCCTCACTCGTTTCTTTATTCACTCAGGCTCAGCTCTCCCCAAAAAATGCCCTGCTGTATATTCAGAGTAGTTTAGCACTGCCTCAGTGGCTTTCCTCTTAACCCACTGTCCTTCCTTTCACTGAAGATCTCTAGGTTTTTTGCTGTGCTTTCAAACTGATCTACAACTAATACATCGGTTAATAAGGATTCGGATGCTTGTAAATCCTTATAAAGGCTGTGCACGACCACCCCCATGAATGTTCAATGTGGGAAACAGCTGCATTCTTGGATTTAAAATGCAGAGTGACATCTGACAAAATGATTCTGTAGGTTATCACAGGAAAAGAAGGTAACAGAAGTCTGCAATTGACCACCCTTCTTTACAGAGGCTCAGAACTTTTAAAAAGAGTCAATCAGTCCTGGACAAGATATAAGTACTATACTCACGCTACCCCTGAGAAGTCTTACAGACCTTACACTTAACT